AAGATGCAAAACATTATGCAAATATAGAAGAGAAGGCCACTCTTACCAGGGCCTTTGGGCTATTAGAAGGTCAGTGCCTCCAGCCCTTTCATGGAGGACCCCATGAACTCTCTTCAACTTCAATCCTCAGAGCCTCAGTATCAGCTGGTGGGAAGGACCAAAGAGACTGGCCCAGCCCTCTGATGTACTTTCACAACAGCTTTGCCTTCAAGCACTCAGGGCCCCTTCCCACCTGAAATGATGCAGAAGCAGTCACAGAAAGCACAGCCTCCCTGAATCCCAGTTCCCTACTCATCAGTGTGTATGCAAAGTAGATGCAAGGTTTTTGCATCTATTTAACTGTCCATTAAAATAGCCACATGCCCGTCACCTCTGCATGGGCCCAGGCTTCCAAATTGCTAACCCCTGCTGCCTGCAAACGCCATGTGGTTCCTGAGCCTGGTAATTGCTGTGGTGTTTGTTGAGCTGTATTTGCATTTGATTGTCATTTAACTTTCCATCTTTCTCCTACAATCAAACCAGGGGGACTGGGCTTCTGCAATTGATTCTTCATTTTATTTTCAGCCCCTTGGTGGTTTTCAAAGAGTTTCGTTTATTGGTGCCACAAATTTGAACCCTGGGACTTTTCCCTCTACATGGAGGGGGATGGCCTCCTCCCACCCATCCCCAAGCTCTTATGTGAAAATAATCTAGCCAATGTGATGGTTCTCAAGTCCTGTTCCCAGTCTGCCTGTTCCAGCACCTGCCTCATTTCTGCCCAGCCGGTGGCATTAAACATTTATGGAGCTGTAGAGGATCAAAGACCTCAGCTGGGGCTGGTGGGCAGGCTGGAGGCCTCAGTTTTGAGATGGAAAGTAGTTCACATCAAACCATTTTCTGTTGCTGTCTCTGTCCACCCTAGGCTCTTGCTACAGTGATCTGCTCCGCTCCTGGAGTGGGAGAAAATATCCAGAGTCAAGAGTCTCCACTTACCAGGGCAGGGTCCTCCTCCTGGCCCTAAATTCAAAAGGTTGTTTGACTTTGAGGAACACAGGAAGCCAGGCCTGTGATCCCTGGCTGGTTCAGAGGCCACAGAGTCTGAGGACCTGGTCCAAGAGGTAGGTGGCAGTCTCTGGAGTAAGATGACTTCCCCTTCCCTTGCTTCCTTGAAACCCTAAAGCCCCTTCAGATACTCTGCTTTGAAGGCTGCCAAGGAGAATGATTTTTTTTCTCTTTCTGCTCAGAAAGCAAGTATTAGCCCAACAGAGACTTCAAAATAAGTCGCCAATGTGCCTGTAATCCCCTGAGTTTGCAAGCTGTTGGGAAGTGAAGCTGGCTTCTCCAGCAATGTGGGCTGGAGATCTGCTCCTGTCTGGAAAGTGACTAGGAGCCCTCCTCTAAGGCTTTCAATCCTAACCCATAGTAGCTCTTCTTCAGAGTCAGCAGTGAAGTCCACCATTCCTCCCACTGGCCACAGTGCCTGAGACCCACCTGAATGGCGTGAGATGTGTTTCAATTCTCATACCTTCATGATGAGGTAACCCCTTCAAGGGAGCAACCAAGGATGTTCTGCCACTCAGACGACCACAAAACTTCCCACAGCCTGGGCCCAGATGATTTTAGCTTTCCTCCTACTTTTCTACTGGGACTCTGCTCTGTGGAACCAGTCTCCTTACTAACCTCAGCTATCTGGCATTTTCCACCATGCTGCCTCTGCATAAGCCATGGCCTCACTCTGTATATCCTCCCTCTTCCATTGGATGTTCCCTTCCCTCCTCCATTCACTGAAACATAAAGCAGATTCAACTCCGTTTCACCCATCTGCTATGTGAAGGCTTCAGTGACCTGAAGCAATGTCCCCTTTTCCCTATCTCACAGCTCTTGTATGGTACCATGACCTGCCTTGAGCTTTAGACATTCCTTTTCGTTCATAAACGCTGATTGAGCATCTACAATGTACTGGTCACTGGGCTAGGTAGGGAGTAGAGGGCACATAGGCCATACATTCACTGAGTCAACAACTAGTAAAGAAGAGTGAGCAATTACACAAGGAAAACCCAGGTCCTCTAAGAACAAAGAGTCAGGTAGAGACACAGAGAATGGGAACAATGAAAGCAATGAGGGAGACTTGCAGGTTGCCCAAGGTTGCCATGTATGTGCAAGTGCAGAGGTCAGAGGACATCCTGCAGGAATCAATTCTTTCTTTTCATCATGTGGGTCCCAGAGATTGAACTCAGGTCACTATGTTCACCAGCAAGTGGTCTTTTACCCGCTGAGCCATCTTGCAGGCCCATACCACTTTCAAGTGTTTATACGAACTGAGTAAACTCTAAGCCTATAATAAGCCTTGTATATGAATGTATGTCCTCTTGGGCATTTTATTGTCCTCACTTTGGGGTGATGCCAAGGTCTAGGAAGAATGAGCCCCTTGAAAAGAATAAGAGATGTTGGGTCTGGAGAGATGGCTCAGTAGTTAAGAACACTGGCTGTTCTTGCAGAAGACCCAGGTTCAAATCCCAGCACCCACATGATAGCTAACAACTGTCTGAAACTCCAATTCCAGGGGATCCGAAGGCTTCTTCTGTCCTCTGCGAGCATTGCAAGGACACAAGTGCTCTTACCTACATGTAGGCAATATATGCATACGCATGAAATAAAAATAACAAAATGTTTTTTTAAAGAATAAGAGATGTTTGACAAAAATTCTACTGCTTCCCAGCTTGGTCCAGGCTCTGCCTCAACCTCGATGGGAACCCACCCCACAGAAGCTATGTTGACCATCTTTAAGAAAGAGTGACTGCACAAGTGCATTATTACTCCCATTGTGCAGTAAAAACTCACCCTCTGGGTTCAGGGAAGAGCACTGTATTCTGGGACTTGTAGTCGCCAATGGACCACCCCCTCCTGAATGCTTAGGTTAGTTCAAGAAGTTGGGAAGGTCATGTTGCATGTTCCAGATAGCTCCCTCACCCTCCTTCTTGTAAGTAATGCCCAGCCCATCCAGATCCCTGCTGCCAGGACAGTCAAGTGAGTCTGCCACCAGCCTCCAAATCACCACAAATTGTTCTGGTATACAAGGTTCATCCTGGGTCTGCCAGAACTATATAATCCTGAGGGACCCAGGGATGTGGGAAGAGCTCAGGAACGCCTACAAGGAGCAAAGATAGAATCTATGACCTTCACCAGTTCCCAGACTTTTATCAGCCACTCCTGTGTTCCCCAACTCTGTTGTCAATTCTTGTTCTCCATCCCCTCTACCCCTTCTTTGCCGGCTTCCCCTTCCTATCAGCTTTCTACTACACTTCCTTTTGTCCTCTGCTTCTCCAAACAACTGTCCAAAAATTCTCTCCCAGCATCTCCCCTGGCTAATTCCGCATACCACCTGCCTACCGCCTGGGATTCTTTACAACAGCCAAGGCAGTTCCCCAGATCCCACAAAAGAATCTACAGAGAATTCAAGGAGCAAAGCTGGGAGACTCTAAGGATGGAAAGACTCTCAGAGAAATTAAACTTAGGGCATAAGTCACCTTCTTCCAGGATGATGTGAGGAAGGGCAGTGGACAATGATTAGGGTTTGAGCCAAGTTCACAAGAAAAGAATTAAACACAAATCTGCCCTCCTTTCAGGAACTGCAGAGAATTCACCTTCCTCTTCCCCTACAGATAATATTAACAGCTACATGGTTATGTCCTATTGGGTCCACTGAAGCCCTCCTAGTGAGCTCAACCATGGTCCCTTGGACCTAAATAGCAGCCTCAAGTCAGGTACGGCTGTGGCTAGCCTCATTACCCTGTGGCTTACTGGGGCTCCTCAGATCACAAAGAGTCATGGAATCTTATTTTTCCATGCTGTTTAATGGAATGACCTTTTGAGTTCTCCCTTGGGCCTCCATCAAGTCTCCCTCTGTCTAAAACAGTCTCAGTGGGCTGGAGCTGTAGCTTGTGGTTAGAGTACTTGTCTATCATGTATGAGATCATGTATGAGGCCCTGGGTTCAGTTACTAGCATGGAAAAAAAGAAATTTTAAAATAAAACAGCCCTAGAGACCCCCTATACTCAAGCTTATCATACATCTTCTCCCTCAGTTCCAAGACCTGAGCAGGAATTGGCTTGGCATAAAGGATCTGTGTCACTGTGGCTGCTCTGGTTCCACAGAGGGGACAGAGGAAGCAGAGTCTGTAGATTCTGGGCTGCATGGGGATCTTGATGCTGCCTTCAGCACCCCACAGCTTGGCCCAGGTTGCCCCCTGCCAAGTGGAGAATGTCTCACTGAGCCACAAGGGCCACCGGTTTTTAACTATAATATCAGGATAATTAAGCTTTTCTGTGAGCACAGTTTGCTGCTGATGCAGCTGCCTGGAGCCCTGGCATTTATTGAGCGCAAAGTAATAATTTATTGTCCTTTATAGCTCAAAAGCCATCTTCATTATCGGCCTAGGACGGAGCTGCCACAAGGACACCGAGGCCTCACCAGCTGCCTCACTGGTGTATGTCTTCCCAGGTCACCCTAGGAGCCCCCAGGTACCAGGATGGGGTGGAGAGAGGTGGGGAAGGGGGGTGTTGTCTCTAATGGAAAATCCGGTTAGAACCTAAAACCTTGGCAGGCTGCTAACCCGGGAGAGGGTGGCAGGTTTGGCTGGGCGTGGGCAGTGCGGAAAGGCGGGGTCTGTGTGCCACATTAGTAAGGCAGTCCTTCTCCGGGGCCGGCAGTGGCTCCGAAGCCTGTGCTCTGGCCGCTGGGTCGTCTGCGCCTTTGCTTGAGACTTTACGGTAGGCCGCTCCTCCCGCGCCCCCGCCCCCAGCCCCGCGCGGCGATCCCCGGCGCCGACGCCAGGCGCTGGCCGTGGTGCTGATTCTGTCAGGCGCTGGCGGCGGCGGCGGCGGCGGC